GAAAAATATAATTGTCTTTTCTTTGTGTAGATTTCGACCTTTTTATTTCACCGTTATAAATCCGTGGCTTCTTTATCATTATACGTCACGTCAAGTTTTCAATATGTGGCGAGTTTTTTGTATTATTGGTGTGCTTATTCAAAATATGCTTACTTATACCTTTACTCACATTTATGGTTTCTTCTACGTTTTGAAAATCGATTCGGATAAAAAAAGGAATGATAAATAAAAACTAAAATAATATTTCAAATATTCATGTAATCTTTCATTTTTTCTAATTAATGATATATCTATTAAAAGTTTATATCAAATAAAAGAATATTAAGACTCATTATTTAATTATTTGAATACAAATTTTATCTCAAATAAAAATGAATAGACTTTAAATGAATAATGTTATTTAGCACAAATGTTTAGTCTAGATGTCAGCATATCATAGGTCATAATAAATAGGTTATAATTCATTATATTTAATTGAACATATTATTTTAATGTCACTAATATTGCTACCTAAACTGGTGTAAAACACCAATGGTGTTAAGGAGTATTATTTAAATCAAATAGGTCCATGCTTTATCCCTACATATCTAATCATTTACCACCAAATCCCTAATAAAAAAGACACTTTACATTGTCCTAATGGACATGGTACACTAGTAAAGTAGGAGGGTTCTCTACGGAGTATCAGAGGTTCGAATTCTCATGACAGTTGAAAGACAATATTTATGTTGGAAGGCAAATACCATGTGAAGGCAAAGTAATAGTGCATTTTGTTGTCCCTCGAGGAGTTGTGTCTGCATCCGGCCCAAGTATATAAGTTATAATCGCATTCGAATTTACTCGGGTAGCAAATCAGGAGGAAGACCACTACTCTTCAATATTAGTCGGGTGACTCCCAGAGCTCTCCTTCACATTAGTCTGGCTTGTTCTTTTCCATTTTTGGCACCACCACCTAGGGAAGGCAAAAAAGTTCGGCGGCTCGGGCCGAGCCCCATGTGGGGGCTCCGAGCCGAGCCCGGGCCGGCCCGTGTCACGGGCCCAAATGGGCCGGGTGTTTAAAAAAAATAAAAATAAAAAAAAAAA